TTTCTTAAAAACTAATAAATATTTACTAAATATACTTATTAAATTTTTAAATATATTATACATTATGCTTTAATTAATTTGTTTTTTAAATGATACAAAAATTTTTATATTTAATGTACTTTTAAGAGTTTGAATTTTTGTGATTCATGATACCCCGGTCTCTCCTATATTTCATGTTGAACTAATCGATTAGACAATTACTATTACTTTAAAAAAAATTGCTATTACTTTAAAAAAAGATTAATTTAGTAAGAAAGTAATCGAAATTGTAACAATTTGGTACTTTTTGAGTATAAATAATGTTTACTTTTACAATAAGTAATCAGTAACGATAAAAAATTATTTTTTGAAAGTAATTTTTTCAACCTTGCACATAACTAACTTGCAGGTACAAAGTATGCAATGATTTCTATAAAAGTTATTCTAGCTACTTTAATACGAACATTCGTTTTAAAAGTAGATAAAAGTATTCAGATACATAATATAAAATTAAAAACGGACGTAACATTATCTACTATTGAACCTTTAAAGATCAGGATTAAAAAACGAGATCTGCAATAAAGTAAGCTAAATATTAGATAAAGAAAACACTTTTGCAAAAAATTTTCGCATGTATTACGGCAACGATTAATATTAATGTAACTTAATTTCTAATCTTATTCTTTATTGTCTAATGTATAATATAATTGCAAAGAAATAAAATATGCAAACAAAATCTTTGAAAATTTATTGTAATTTAATCCTATTTCTTCTTTAGATTAATGCTTTTTAATTATTCATTACTTTTTGTTGTATATTTATAATAAATGCTACAATTTATTTATGTAATAATTTTTTTCGTATAAATTGCAACTAACGTGACAAAACAAGTTTTATGAGGAAGTAGAAGATTGCTGTATTTATGGGCCTGGAATAGCAGATTAGCAGTAAGTTGTCAAAAAGCACTACTTTTCAATACCGAAAACTTCAAACGCGTTTTCCTCAAAATCACTTTTCAAAAATATTCCATCATTAACGGAACTAATTGTGCTAATGGTGGAATATTTTTGCAGATTTATAAATCAAAAAATCACTCATGTAGAAAAAAAAGAATTTCACGCAAACGAAACTCGACAAAAACTGACGCTGAGAAACATCCTTCGCTTCTCTTAACGCGCCTAAAGTTCTAGAATTTCATAATCTGTCAACACTTATGATCATATACATCGGACGTCCGTAAATAATAGGGCAGCTTAGTCGCAGTGAAGGATGCTTCTCAGCGTCAGTCTTTGTCAAATCTCGTCTTGGAAAACTAACAGTATGAGTCGTGGGCTGTATCACGAAATCAATTGACTCGAAATTTCCGGATCCAAGTTCGATCCCCCTGCGTCCTATATATATATATATACAGTTTTGTCCGCGATTGACGAGCATTGCTCCTTGTGATTGATTGTATTATTCAGAGTGTATTACTGAAATTTGTGATCTTACTTTTCCTTTCATTTCGTAATTTCTTGTTATTTTCAGAAGGTCCATATCTGCGATCACACAACTGCGTGAGGAAAAGGAAAATCCTCGAATCATGGAAAGAAATCATGCATTTAGCATGAATTATCATTTCTCTTGAATCATATCAATCTTAAATTTTTAGCAATCTCTTCCCCTGGTAGCAAGCTGACGTCATTTGACGTTAAAATGACGACAAAATGACGTAGCTTGCTACTTGGGTCGGATTTGGCGAGTTTGATTGTAAATTTTGTCGGCGTTTCTACGGTCTTTGAGATTTAATATCAGCTGATTTTGAAATAAACAAAAGTAATATAATTCATTAACGTTTGTATGGATATTGAATTGTTTAGAATAGATCCTACTTCTGTTAAAGTAAAATGTTGCAAAATGCTGTTATTAAGATATTATTGTTGTTAAAGTTATTTCTAGCGGTATGACGAGTAAAAATTGATAAGTCAAAAAATAAGTTCAGAAAAAACAAAACAGAAATTTAAAAAAGAAAGAGTTTGAAAATTTATTTGCATTCTGAAATAAGACGTACAAATATGAAAATTAATATTTTTTAATACTTTTAAATAAAAAAAATGAATACTTTCATTTTATTACAAATTTAATTATAAATTTAATATTTAAATTTAATTAATTATAAGTTTAAATGTCTTTCCGCGACCTTAATTTAAAAGTATTCATTTTAATTTCGATTTGTTTTTTTATAGCACGATTGCATAATACGTTATAATATATACATATACATACTGGTGTCTATGCACATATTATGACTTCCTCGCTTTTTTCAAAAAAAAAAAACTACGATTTCTACAAACGAAATAATTGCAAATTTGTAAAAATTGCAGCAAATAGAAATCTAACCATAATAATTAAAATAATTTGATTTTGAGCAACACCGTCAAAGTTATTGATACAATCAATAAGAGTTAAACAATAATGTCGTAACTATGAAATAATTTATAAAGTAATAAGATTTTAATACGTACCTTCGTTCACACAATCTTGCATTGTGTATAATTCTTAGTTTGTCTCAAACAGTTGTTACTTGAAGCTCTAAACCGTACGTAAGAACACAATGCAGCTATCGCAAGAAAACTATAAAAAATTGTTTAAGAAATTCAAATCAAACATTTTGGATTTTTTCCAAAATAAAATTTTATTTTAACGCATATTTATTTCAGTTATTATATATCATTTCAGTTTCTTATATTCTTATTTTTTTTTATTATATTATAATTTATTATTATTATTATTATTATATTATTATTGTATTCTCTTTATTTTCCTTATTTTTTTAGATAATTTAAAATTTTCATAATCCTCAAATTCCACCTTAAAATTATTTTTCTAAGATTTTATCATATTTTTAAACATGTTAATTCCTTATAATAATTCTTCAATAGAATATATTCAATATATCAATAATTAAACTTCATATTTAATACATAAATTTTGTTTTTTATATAAATGTTTTTATTATTTTACATACCTTACTGTATAATACTTAATACTAAAGGTACGTAACAATCTTTTCAAATAAAATTTTTATTTCAAGGAAGTTTTCCTAAAAGAGGAAAAGATTATTTTAGAAAGATTTATTTTATACATCAAATGTATATTTCATCTTTTAAATAGTACACAGTCATCACGAGCACACATAAATAAAAAAAACATCTATAGCAAAAACTTGGTGGAAAAAATACATGCGAGTACTTATAATAATTCCAAGTTAAACAAACTACTCTCGGTTTCCTTGCTCTTATTTTGATATATTTTAAGTCAAGGCCTCTCGAACTAGCGCAGCCTAAAAAATTCCGGATTTTTTCCGTTTAATTTTATCTTATACGATTTACAAATATTGCGAAGCGTACGATCGGTGAAAACATTATACAAGCATAAAAACCACGTGTGCTTATTAAACTGTACGCTTTCTTGGAAAGCTTATAAGAAACATATGTTTTTACATTTTTTATTTTTATCAATCTCATTACAATGAGGATATATAATTTCGGAATGCGATAAAGAAATTCAACAATATTAATTACTTTAATATAAAAATCTTCTCTTATCAGGCTTGCAATTCAAGCTTTCGTCTATCAGGTTATCCAATGATAAAAGATTTGTACGAATATGTACATATAATCCAATCATAGAATTTTCGTTTGCTATATACATATTATAGAATACGCAATCTTCTTATCGAATAATACAGAGAAGAATGCGCTTAGATCCGTCTAGAAATGTGCGCCAAGAGATATGTAATTAATGAGACTTAATTATTAAATTATATTATTATTACGCCTATACGTACAATTCATGTAATTCATTCACGCGTCTCAAATTACTTTTACAATTTACTCATAAATGTTTGTATTGAATAATCATTACGATGACTGTAGATTATGTAGGAAGACAGAAAATTGTAATTAAACAATCCGACAAAGAAAAGTTGACTAGTGTACAAAATTATCTGTAAATTTTATTTGTAAAGCATTTATAATGTTTTTCTGTATTATCATTATTATTAACAAACATTTAAGAGTAAACAAAAAATAATTTAGATGCATACAAGATGTGTACAGATATATAAGTTATCAATGAAGTATATAATTCTTCTATCTAATCACAACTCAGAAAGGTTTAATATAATGAAAATCAAAACAAACTTAACAGAGGATCGTATTAAAATTTTCTATCATATAATAATCTTCATTCATCATTCGTGTGTACTTAAACACTACATCAAAGTAAAATAATAATATAAAAAAAATGTTAAAGTATAAAACTTAGGACTATAAATATAGAGTATATTTACTGTGCGTACCGTTACATTGCAGAACACAAAATACCGATATATGAGTGTCATATTTTTCCCTTAATAATGAAATATATGAATCGTGTGTGCTGCTATATGTGCGCGTATGCGTATGAATAACATATACGTATAAATTTTATATATTTAAAGCATATCTCCGTCATGTAAGTATGATACTACAAATATGATTTACGAACTTAGGAATGCGTATTAATTAATGTAAATATCAAAATACGAAAATTTAATTATTCGTATTCTAACCCTCGTATTCAGATACCGGATTCGTTTGGATTCATCCTTGTAAACTAATCCAGAAATATATTTGTAGTGTAACAGATACAAGAAATATTCCGTTATTCTTGTTCTAAAATAAAATAAATATTGTTTACTTGATTTATATTTTAATTTCTCTTAAATCATAATATACTAATATTATTTTTGAGAAAAAATTTCAACACATATACTTATTCAGAATTATGTAAAAGTGAAATTATATAAGTCTGAATAAATCCGATATCTATAATTGATCATCAGGCAAATTACTGTTCTAAAATTAACCTATCTATATTTCGCTTTAAAATAAGTGTGTACACATTAAAAATCCATTAAAATATATTTAAGATATATATATATATAATTCATGATATGCATAATGGAATAAATAAATATGTATACGCGCATGCACGTAACTTAAAAATAAACAAAGAACCGAGTATTTTGTTACAGTAAAAACTAATTACTTTATACGTAATAATTACTTGAAGGTATGTTCAGAAGTATGGATCACTTATTAATGTGATGTTATTTTTTTTGAAGAAAGGAAATGAATATCATAAATGTTAAGAAAATGATGGCGAATTCTCCTATCTTCTCTCAGTCTCTCTATTGTATTAGAATCTAAGTACTATTATATTGTTGTTCAACAGTCCACGTTTCAATAAACTGAGGTTTTAAATAATATTCTAAAAAGATTTAATCTTGTAAACATTTCGGTCTAAAAGAATTTTAGCGCAAATAAGATTTAATCAAAATAATATTTAAAAATGTTTTCTGCGCGAGATAAAATCTAATATTTATCATATCATATCTTTACACAAAACAATCTTCAACAATGCTCTCTCTCGTTACAGAAAATATTTTATATTAAAACATTATCTCGATTAAAACATCATTTGTGCCAAAAAATCTTTTCAAGCATTTATTTAGAATAATTTTATTTAATTTCGTAAATGTCAGAGGATAAATTTTATCGAGTATCTTAAACCGAGGTTTCAGAGTTCAAACGCAAAAGAAATTTGTTCGATTTAGGATGTGCCAATTGTTCGGTGAGATTAAAATGCGGTAATCTATGTGCTGTACACAAGAGTGCCACTTCGCCCTGTCTCAACTGAAACTCACAACCGTTAGCGATCGGGCGAGAGGGTAGCTCTCCTTCGCATACCAAGGCCCAGTGATGAGATCGTTTTTGTCTCTCTTTCTCATTTGATAATACCGGATTCGCAGCGAAGAATGGTTCTAGGAAAGCGCGCGGCGCCGCATCTTGAGCCAAACATCGGGCGAGACGGTTCAAAATAGATTCTACTGAATGACGCGGCTGTTGCCGGGTGATTCTTAAATATTTCTGTAAAGCTCTTGCCATAGAGGGAAACACCGCTTGCGCAGCTTCCATAGGATCCATCGGTCCAGGATTTGGCGTGGATTCTATCTCGGAATGCAAACGTTTGATATGCGCAAACGCCTCTTCGGCGGCAGTGATGAGTCTTGCGCGACGTTTCCGCACTCGCCGTTCGTAATCATGCTCCTCGTAGAAGCGCTCATTGTGACTCGAATCACGACGACGCGCTTGTGCTGTCAGGACTGCCCGGTCTCCGCTTCCAGCGCGCGATTGCATACCACCGGTCACTCCACCGTCAACCTCGTAAAACTTGAAACTTGATTGCTTTCTACCAGACTTCGAGACCGGCAACCTTTCCAAATATGGATTGTAAATTGGAAACTCTGTATAGTATTTTTCTAGTACCCATACGGCTGCTCTCTGTATCGATAACTGACCAATCGCATAAGATCTCGATTCACCATCCGGTGATCTAACGACCTGTAAACGAAAATAATATATATAATTCAAAATGCATGTTGCAATTAGGTATCATTGAGTAACAATATGAACAACATTTAGTACCTTAAGATAAAACGTAGGTTGTAAATGACGAACTTCGATAAGGAGCACTGCGGTGTAATGTATAAACAGGAGTGTATTGGCAAGGGTACCTGCATAATTTACTAAACTTTTGTACTCTGTTATTTCGCCATTGGCAACAGTCTTAGCACTCTCGGTGACCTGAAAAATATCGAATACTTTAGTAACTATATATATAAATATATTTACAAAGATAGTGTTTTCCAGCCAAAAATACAACTAACATAGTGTAATATAGTGAATCACTTCTCCGATTCTATATTTTAAAACGAAGTGAAAATTATAAAAATGAACGAATTTACTAAGTTGACCAATGAAATTATAAATATTCTACTAAATTCGTTCAATTTTGTAATTTTCACCTCGTTTCAAGATGTAATTCCTGTTGTTTGACAATGTTAAACAAGGATAAAATAATTTACTGTTACAAAGTATTAGTATTTTTGTCCATAGTGGATTTGAATCGATTTGAGATTAATTAATGATGTCACATGTTCTATTTTGATTGCATAAAATCATAATGCTTTTGTTGATCGATTTTAGATCAATCCAAATTCCTTGCGATCAAAAACATTATATACTTGTTTCTTGCTGGAAAACGCATATAATTGCATGAATCACATCTAGGATGATTACCTGTACAACATAAAAAAGCCAATAAGTACAAATGCACAGGGTGGTGAGCAGCAGCACTCCCGCCTTGAATAAAAATATGCGTGGCATGGTAGCGGTTCGTGGACGCAGGAACACTGCCCAGCTACCGATGACCAGTAGCACCAGTTTGAAGGCCAATCCTAGCAGTTCGCCTTTACACTCGGCGTTGCATGACAGTAGATGCAATTTCTGTTGCATTGTCAATACCGTTGTCGAGTCGGGAAAGAATCCCAGTTTAGGCAAAATGACCATGGCTATAGGACTAAGAAAGGCGCTTATCCCGAGTATCATTGCCACGATTGGACCAACATAGCGATTGCAGCTGGAACCAAACGTGCTATCGGTTTCGTTTGGCCAGTGGCTTACATCCTCAGTCGATTCTGACCTATCTGAGGTGTTGCCAGTGACGGCTGTAGTGTTCTCTCCCCAATTCTCATCCTGAGGCAGTATCTGCACCTCGATCACTTCTTGACCCATGTTATCCACACTATCTCCTCGTACATTGACTGTTGTTTGAAACGGAGCCATTTCACTAGTATCCAAATTCTGTCTCTCCTTTCTTTGACTTCGATTGCTCCTGTCATAGAAGATTACAAAGGATTAATGAAAACCAAATCATAAGAGATCTTTAACAATCACAATTTTAGTATTAAAATAATATTAAAATTATGCTCGCTGATTTTAGTTGTACAATATCATGCTTCCTTGATTTCCTAATGATAAGAATAATCCAAAGAACCTCTTCTAGATTACGTATTGGAATTGAAAGAAGTTCTTCATTCAGTTATACAATTATGCAATTAAACCCGGCTTATTCCATCAATACTAAAATAGCAACTGCTGAAGAGCTCTTATGATTTCTATTGTATACATCCTCGTAAGACATCACATTTGGAGAATTAAAACTCCACTTCTTTAGGATGATTAAATGAAATTCATGGGATATACCTAGTAGTGCGGTGAGAATGCTGTCTGTGATGCTGTTTTGAACTGTGAGATCTATGATGCTTCTGGGAGCTCCTGCTGTGGTGGCTATGGCTATGCTCGCTAGCCCCGGACTTTACGCTCTCCGTCTCCATTCCACGACAAAGGCTACCGCCCGCTCGCTACCCCATAAGAGCATACCCTCCCTCGCGCGCTGACGAACGACGGACACATGTATCGCGACGCTGCACGACGTAGTCTCGGTCAGCTCCAATGTTCCGCTTTACCTCGTCAAGATACGCTATCGCCGCACATCCACGATCCAGGCATCGGAGCGTCGCGGCGTCGCGGTCACGTGCACTCTTGACATTCCGTTATCCGGTCGAGGCAATTCATAGGGAACAGGTTACCGCCGTCACTACGATGTGTGATCGGTACCGGAACGATCGATGAAACCACAATTCTCGGCGTCGACACGTAAAAAACAGACGCCGACACGCCTAACGTTTTATTATTCCCACCCCCTCTGTCCGGCTCCAAGCAGCCGGGCTACCACATTCCGTAGTAATTGCTGCGATTGAAAACACTGCGGAGCCGCTAGGGGAATTTTATCCTGATGATATGTTAGAGAAAGACTAGAGAGACCCATGTTCGTGGACATTATTTATGAATCATGATACAATATATTGGGAGTACAAATAAGTTTCCGCCGTTTGACAAAAGAGGGCGCCATTAGCAAGCTATGGTTAAAATTGTCTGATGTTAAACGTTATATCGTAAGGTTGGACATCTGTCAACAACAACCTTGAAATACTAGCGATTTTGTATCAGCATCATATATTTTTTTTGTGCGAAAATGCCGAGTTTTGAGCCGAATAAGCGTCATTTGCGGGAACTTTTGATTTACTTCTTTAATTTGAAGAAATCTGCAGCTGAGGCTCATCGATTGCTTGTAGAAGCATATGGTGAGGCTACCTTAAGTGAGAGAAGTTGTCGTGAGTGGTTTCAAAAGTTTAAGAACGGTGAATTTGACGTCGAAGACAAAGAACGTAGCGGAAGGCCGAAAGTGTACGAAGACGCGGAATTGGAAGCATTATTGGATGAAGATTCGTGCCAAACGCAAAAAGAACTTGCACTTGCATTAAGAACGACTCAACAAGCAATTTCACATCGTTTGAAATCATTGGGAATGATTCAAAAGCAAGAGAATTGGGTTCTATATGAACTGAAGCCGAGGAACGTTGAACACCGATTTTCCATATGTGAAATGCTGCTTGTCAGGCATAAAAAGGGTTTTTTACATCGTATAGTCACTGGTGATGAAAAATGGATCCACTATGATAACTCAAAGAAGAGGAAATCATGGGGATCACCTGGCCATGCTTCAACATCGACAGCCAAGCCGAATATTCATGGAAAAAAACTTATGTTATGTATTTGGTGAGATCAGTTTGGTGTCGTGTATTATGAGTTGCTCAAACCGAACGAAACCGTTACTGGGGCTCTCTACCGAACACAATTGATGAGATTGAGCAGAGCACTCAAGGAAAAACGCGCCCACTACTCCAGGCATGACAAAATTATTCTCCTACATGATAATGCTCGATCACATGTTGCGGCGCCGGTCAAAACCTACATAGAAACACTCAATTGGGAAGTTCTACCCCATCCGCCGTATTCACCAGACATTGCCTCTTCCAATTACCATCTATTTTGATCGATGACGCATGGCCTGTCTGAGCAGCACTTCACATCATATGAAGATATCAAAAATTAGATCGATAATTGGATAGCCTTAAAAGATGAAGCGTTCTTCCAACGCGGTATCCGTACTACCAGAAAGATGAGAAAAAGTAGTGGCTAGCGATGGACAATACTTGGAATAAAACATTATGTACCATTCTTTCATAATAAATGCTTAATTTTTTGATAAAAAACGGCGGAAACTTATTTGTACTCCCAATAAAAATATAATATCATTATACTATATGGATACATTCCACTTGGTGTTTGCAATATCTTGTTTAACATTTGCTAAACAACAATTTATCTGTGTTGTTTATCAATCAAGTATTAAACAAGGATTCCACTTGATGTTGCAAATGTAAAAACTATGAAATGCATTCTAAAGGCAATAGAGATATCGCTCATCTAATCATTTCTATATTATAGAATAATTAAAATGGATCAAACCATTTTCGCGATCAAGCGACTTTTATTTGATATTTATCATAAAATAATGAATAATTTTATAAATAAAAATATATGTTGAACTATCAAGATAGTCAATAAATTCTTTCAATTAAAAACATTTGAAATATTTTTTAGTAAAACACTTTTTATACTTTCTTTTCAAATGTATTTCAAATGATTATTACAATTTATTACACGGCAATAGGAGTGGGTGGAGGTAGATCTTTGGACGGCTTCACCTCGGAAATCGGAACTGACGGTGGTACCTCTTCTTTCGGCTCCACGATAGATACATAATCGGGAAGAGGTTTTTTTGGGCCACTCTTGCCGTTAGGATCCCAAGGAAGCATAATTTTAACCTTAATTCCTAATACCCCTAAAATATATTTAAAATAAAATACAGAATAAGAAACACAAATATAATACCAAATACAACACAAATTTTTTATTATGTTATATACTGAATATATATTTCGAACCAAATTTTATAAGTACATTATTATATTACGAATTAAAGAAATAATCATGATAATGCAATCATACCTTGCCGAAGAAGCACATGCCGGGTGGCAGTGTTCACATACTCGTTAGTCGGCTCGCCTGAGTGTATCATAAGACCATCAACAAATTTCATTGATTTCGCTCTCTGACCACGTAGTTTACCACTGACAACTACCTCACAACCTTTAGCTCCTGACTCCATGATGAAACGGAGGACACCATAACATGCTCTGATAAAAACAAAATTTTCAATAGAAAGAATGTGATAAAAAATAAGATAACAGACTACATAGAATAAAGCTCTAAACTTTACCTTCGTACAGCGAGGCCACCAATCAGTTTGTATCGAAGAGATTCTGCCTGTGCAATTGCACATAAGCCACGTGTGGCGACCTTCTCGGCATACAACTCAACATTCTGCGGTTCTTTAAAATTAAAACGTTTCTGTACTACAGAAGTAAGTTCTCTGATCCTACGTCCCTTTTCACCAAGCACGCTTTGTGTATGGGTAGCCAACAAGATAATTTCTGTTCGGTTTGGTGTAACACGAACTTCTACACCAGAATAGCCATCCTCAGCGAGTTCACGAGTCAAAAACTCGTTTAGCTCAGCTCTGAAGACACCGTCTCCCACAAACTGAAGATAAAAAAAAGTAAATATTAATACTGAATTTAATTTATCTTTATCATACATAATTTAGTATAAAAATTTGTTTATTGAAAAAACTATCATAAAATATTAAGATAAAAATTAAAAGATTAAAATATCAAATATAGAATAAAAGAATGTTGCAAAATACACTAATATGTACCAATCTAGATTGGTACAAATTTTATATATTTTAAATAATTTTTTGTAATGAGACACATGAAATCGTGAAGACCACATGTGAGAGTCTACACTGTGAGTGTGACTAAACCATTCCCATTACGATTTATGATTCTAGCATTATTTTGCTTTATTTCAATGAAATATTATTCCAAAAACTTTCAGCACTGCAACATATATATTGCTTGCTCAAATTTATTATATATATTTTATATTTATTATAAATTCTTGAAAATATTACTAACCTTCCTCTTCTTCGATATTGAACGATTTTCCATATTCAGAATACTGGTGAATCACAAATTCCTTTCAATTGAATTACGACTAAAATATAAAGAGAATTACGTTAATTATGCTTAAACATATATAAATCTAAATTTATAAATTCCTAAATTTACAACATTAACAGACCGCTTACTTTTCTTAATCTTCCACGTTTCATATGATTTCATAAAGGCCGCATGTGGAGTCTACAATACGAATGCAAACTCACTTTAAAGTCATAACAACCAATCAGAAACAGTAGCATCAACTGTTGACGCTTCTGATTGGTTCTTGCGACTTACGACAATACAATATCCAATAAGAAAATTCACTTCCTAGAATTTTTAGCTGGTAATATTTTTGTCTCAAGAAAAAAATAGTGTTTTCCATTGGAAAAACTAGTGTAACATTGGTGCAATTGAATACAAATTGGCTTATATATTTCCAGTGTTAATAAATAATTTAATCCTTTTAAGCTTATGAGATTACATAAAAAAAATGACATCAAAAAATACGTAATTTAAAAGGATTAAATTATTTATCAATACTGAAAATATGTGAATTAATTTGCATTCAAGTGCACTCTATGCGCGTCGATTGCGCTTATTTTGGGAAATTTTCCTATTGGTAGTGTGAAGCCTGCATAACGGCGTCTGCTAGCACTGGCACTATTGCGTTTGCGCGAGACTCCATCCCTCCATCTCGCAACGTACAGCTTGTCGTTTCGCGGCTTGTATCGGTGTTGTTACGATCTTTCTACCGTTGTGGTTTCCATTTTTGCTCTCTCTGCTTCGAGTCTCTGATCTATACGCTTTTGAAAGCTACTTCGGTTGATTCCCCGTGCTCGCGTCGTATGAGGCACGGTGAAATTTTACCGTTTACATTCTCCATCGACGGGCACACGTCTCCAGGATGCCCAAGAGGAAGCATCAGGCCCTCATAGATTCCGACAGTAGCGGGAGTAAAGTCCTGTGCCATTCACTTCTGCGTCCATTATCATACCGTATGTTTATCTCCGTTCACGAATTGCAAAGTGCACGCTGCTAAACTGCGTTCACTAAGCGACTTTGCATAATTTACGGTAATACCCAATACAAGTGCAAGTAAACATATATGTACGAATTTTATGCAATATTAAACTAAATATTTTTTAAAATTGTAATATGAATACACAACAACTAGGTAATAAAAGTTTTAAATAGTCAAGCTGGATCTTTAGTGTTTAAATAACTTAGAATTATTAATTTCTGAGTTACGAATGTTTTAAGATAAAACAATATGTATTTTTAGCTCTTTATTTTTAAACTATCTGGATTTTTTCTTTTTAATGCTTGATTGCGTATTTTATTTCAAAATGAAGAATGTGGAACAGTTGCAAGAAGTATATTACATGTAATATAAAATATAAAATGTAATATATAATTGTTTACAACACATATAATGTTAGTAACATATAATAATATGATTGCTTGTCAAAACTCATAGAATACAATGCAATATGGAACTGAGCTGTTATAATTTTTTCCATGATTTTATCATTAGTAATTGAGCATGTGTCTCTTCACTAAATTTTAGGACCTATTGTCATTGGCAAAGAAAAAGAAAGGAAAGTCTCAAGATGATTCTCAATCGAATGAGGATAACGGATCCATTAAGAAGGATGTCAAACATGATTCAGATATATCAGATTCTGATGATTGGAATAACAAAGCTGGAAAAACAAAGAAGAAAAAGTCGCCATCAAAGAGAAGTAAACGAAAGATGACAAAGTCTAGCTCAGAGGACAGTGCCAGTGAGAAAGAACCAGCTAAGCAGCTTTCA